CCCCCCCCCTCCCCACCTGTTTCCCACTATTGCCAATCCCTTCCTTATAGTTTTATGATAACTGTTCAGGGTCCGCTTATGAGTGAGAACATGTGGTGCTTTGTTTCTGTGATAGATCACTTAATATTATAGACTCTAAGGCCATCCAAGTTGCTGCAAAGCTCCTAGCTTTGTCCTTCTTTATGACCGCATAATAGTCCATTGTGTATGTGTACCACATTTTTTAAAATCTAGTCCTCTTTCAGTGGGCAGCACACTCGATTCCATGTTTTTGCTATCGTAAATAATGCTGCAGTAAACATGAGTGTGTAGGTACCTTTTTCATAGAGTGATTTGAGTTCCTCCGGGTGTATTCCCAGAATGGGGATTGCTGGGTAGTGTGGAAGGTTGGTTTTTAGGGTTTTTGGGAATCGCCACACTGTTTTCCACAGAGGTTGTACTAGTTTACATTCCCACCAACAATATACAAGTGTTTCCTTTTCCCCACATCCCCTCCAGCATCTGTTGTTTTTTGAGTTATTGATGATGGTCATCCTGACTGGAGTTAGGTGATATCTCAGTGTGGTTTTAATTTACATTTCTTTGATGACTAGTGAGGCTGAGCATTTTTTCATCTTTTTTCTAAGAGAGAACTAACTAGAACATGTCTGCTGGACCTCTAAGTGATTTTATTCTTTTGCATGTATTATTTTATATTCAATGTTGGGAGAGAACACATTTGGGCACTGTGTTCCATTAGGTTGAATTTCAAATATGTTTTTGGTCTGCCTCGCTTTTTAGTCATTAGAATAAAAATGGTTCTGCAGTTTTACTTATTTTTTTTTTCTTGTTCAGTTGTCAAGAAGGTCCTGGTGGATCTACTGACCTCTAGTTTTCTCTTGAATTTTCTACCTAACCTTTTGATATCTATCTGTCATAAACAACACATTTCATAATCTATTCCAGATTTAACATTTTCTAATGTTTTATATCTCTCTTTCTAGAGTCACCTCCCTATAAAAAGAAACCTCTGCATTTTTCATTATTTTCTAATCAGTATTTCCCATTAATCTTTTATTAGTGACCTAACAATTAAATATACAATTTAAAATATTCTAAGTACTCCTATTTTTTTGGATTTTTTAAATTATAAAGATGTGGGGTGCAATTCAGGATTTGGTATACAAACGTTGATTATGCAGGTACCCTTGTTGATGAGGTATGTCCATTTCTCCCCTAGCAGTTTCCCTCAACTGCCAATCCCACCCCTCCCTTGTTTGCCATTATTGATTGATAATTTAGTTCATGTAATTTGAGTTAGTCACTATATAACATGTTCAGCCTGCCTGACTGACAATATTGAAAACTCTGGTATACTTTGTAATTATAATGTATTTTGTGTGACATTATTTTTAAGAGGCTTTAATTTTCACAATTTGTACTCAAAGAGCTTTTTACTTTAAGTTGATCTCTTTGTCCTTTTCAATTATTTTTTGTTTTCCTCCAAAAGAATTCTGACTTACATATAACAAAGAGGTCTTTTGGGATAATTTTTTCTACTGTATCATATAAAGTCAAAGGCATTCTGATTCTTTTTAATGGAAAATAGTGTTAGTAGCAAAATCTGGTCTTCAGCAAAGTACATTAGATGGCTTCTCAAAATACTCAAGATAGAAAAGGATGATATGCAATAAGAATTCTCCTCTAAAAAAACCAAAAACCGTGTGTGTGTGTGTGTGTGTGTGTGTGTGTGTGTGTGTGTATGTGTTCTAATTTACCTTTGGCTGTGTTTAAGTTTCTTTTTCTTTTGCTCTGATAACTTAATCCTATTCTCTTTTTTAATCCACTTCTCCCATTTGTTTAAATTTTAGTGCTACCTTCCAAACTTTAGATTTTTCCTGTGGGAGATACCATGGTGAATATAAAATAAAATATATTCTTCCTGTCGCATTCTCCTCTCTGGTGGTTACCCAACAGCATCTATTCAGTCCTTGAAAGGAGAAACTAGTTCCAATTGACTTTTCCCTTTATCCCCTGAATGACTCAGGTTCTTCCAGTTAATGGCAGAGGATATGAATGAGGAATAACAAATTAAGGATGTATTTAGGAATACAATCTGTAAGGCATGGTGACTGAGAGTGTCTGTAATTTGTTCTTTCTCATTCATATCCTCTGCCACTACTTTCATCAAAATACTCATTATTCAGCAGCTACACTATTGTTTAGTACGTGATTTTTTAGGACAATTAGAGATTATAAATAAGGAAAATGAAAACTGTAACTTGCCTGTAGTTTTTCGCTTCAGAGAGTGTCCCTGCTTTTACTTTCACCAAAATGAGTCAATATAAGCCGTACTATTTTCCTTTGTCATTTCGCTCAATACAGTGTTGTACAGATGCTTCTCAACTTGCAATTAGTTGTTCCCAATAAACCCATTGCAAGTTGAAAATATTGTGAGTTCAAAATGCATTTAACACATCTCATCTACTAAACACTATAGCTTAACCTGGCCTACCTTAAATGTGCTCAGAACATTTATGTTAGCCTATAGCTGGGCAAAATCGTTTCACACAAAGCTTATTGTAAAATGCAGTGCTGAATCATTCATGTAATTTGTTAAACACTGTTCTGAAAGTGAAAAACAGAGTAGTTGCATGGGTGCTTGAAGAATGGAGCTGTTTTGGGCTAGTTGTTGTTGTGATTGTGTATTTGTCTATTCAGGCTGCTATCGCAAAATACCTTATATTGGGTCATGAATACAGAATGGAAATGTCTTCTGGAGACTGAGAAGTTCAAGATCAAAGCACCAGCAGATTCAGGGTCTGGCGAGGACTGGCACTCTGCTCCGAGGATGGTGCATTCTCACCGCGTCCTCATGTGATGGAAAGAAGGGCAAGACCACTTCCTTCAACCTCTCTCATAAGCGCACTAATTCCATTCATGAGGGCAGAACCCTCGTCACTGAATCGTTTCCCAAAGGCCTCCTTCTCAGTAATATTCTTTCTGACGTAGGGATTCTGGGGCACATCAACATTCAGACCACAGCAGGTGGCAAGGCTAGTGAGAAAGCAGAGGCAATACCGAGTATCCTTGAACAATGTGCCTTCACTTTTTCTCAGCGGAAAACCTCATGTGTTCTTTTTAGTATATAAATATTATAAATTTTGCTATTATCGTTTATTAATGTCACATTCCTACTGCAAAGAATAGATTGATTAAAGAGAGTAGGTCCAAAATTTAAAATCCTTTCTAGAAATTTCAGGTCTTATTTAAAATTTAAAAATTTACTTTAGACAAAACAATATTCTATTACTTTCTGAGTAGCAACATCTCAGAAGTAATTTTCTTTTAAAATTAAGAATTCTTGCTGGGCTTGGTGGCTCAGCCTGTAATCCCGTGCTCTGGGAGGCTGAGGTGAGTGAATTGCCTGAGCCTGCGGATTCGAGACCCACCTGGGCAACTTGGTGAGACCTCATCTCTACAATACATCAAAAAATTAGCCGGGCGTGGTAGCGCGTGCCTGTAGTTCCGGCTACTCGGAAGGCTGAGGCCGAAGGATCGCCGGAGCCCAGCAGGGCGAGGCTGCGGTGGCCGGGAGCAGCCACTGCACTCCAGTCTGGGTGACAGAGTGAGACTCCAACTCAAAAAAAAAATTAAATTAAATTAAGAATTCTTTTATGACATGAATTGGTGTCTTTGAGTTACAGAGGGGAATTTTCATGAGCTGACAGTAAGGGTACTTGAAGTGTTGTGCTGACCCAGTTTTGGAACCAGTTATTTTTGTGATTGTTGTTCACATGACAATAAACAGCTACTCTCGTAATTATGTAGTTGAGCTACACTTATGGTTGGTTAGCAGGATGTGCTAATTAGATTAGAGTCATAGATTCGATGACCATATATGGAGTAGTTTTTGGCATTTTTTCCATGACTGTAGCTTATCCCTGAAAAAAACAAACTAGAAAAGAATCATTTTATCACTTCTAAACCAGACAAGGCAAGGTTACTTTTGATATGATTGCCTTGAATAGATAGTATCAGTTGCAAATATCTGGAAATGTATGATGCTGTTCATAAGAATTGCTGAGAAAAACAAAATCAGAATCAGTAGAAATCTAGAACCATTCCTAAGGTTACTTCAGTGATGTCATTTTTACATATGAAATAGAAAATTAATTCATCTATAATCCTCTAAAATATTGATCTTATAACATAGCTTCATAGTTAAAGATCAGGACTTGCAATGTGTGTAGTCTTAAGAGTCTACAACTCTGAAGTTTCAAATTATATTGTGTGCAGCTTTTCCACAGATGTAATAAAGAATTTTTTCAGTTTTCTGAAGTGTTTTTAGCTTTATTTCTGACTGCTAAACCCAATTTGGGGCATAGAATTCAAACAATTGCTTAGCAGTATACTGTATCTTTTTCCTTTACCTCAAGCACTGTACTTAAATACATAGAAAATACTTATAGCTGGGCTCGGTGGCTCAGCCTGTAATCCCGCACCTTTGGGAGGCTGAGGTGATTGGATTGCCTGAGCCCGCGGGTTCGAGACCCGCCTGGGCAGCGAGACCTCATCTCTACAATAAGTCAAAAAAGCAGCCAGGCATGGTAGCGCATGCCTGTAATTCCAGCTACTTGGAAGGCTGAGGCGGAAGGATCGCTGGAGCCCAGCAGGTCGAGACTGTGGTGACGACGAGGGGAGTGGCCACTCCACTCCCGTCCGGGCGACAGAGTGAGACTCCAACTCAAAAAAAAAGAAAATACTTACATTATAGTTGGAGTTATAAATAGGCATTTCCATTTTAAATTATCTTTATGTATATTCCTTGTTACTGTGTATATCTTACATCTCAGATTGTTCTTATCATTAAATGAAGAATTATTACATTGGAATATCATCAACACATTGTTCTTTCTGCAAAATTTATAATCTCAAAAGACAATATTAAATGATTTATAAATAAAGAAGTTTATACACATAGGCGTTAAAAGTTGTCACCTAAAGGCTATTTTTTATAGGTGACTTCATAGAAGGACCTTTGAAAGATTTTTGTAGTCATGGCAATATTTGTGCCTGTGCATGTGAAAGATAGAACCAGTCTAAGCTACCATAAACTTAAATAATCTATAATTCTGGTATTCTTTCTGACTCTTGACTATTGCATGATTACACTTTTTAATACTCATTTCACTTTGAAACCATAATGTGCCTAGAGTTTCAATGAATAAAAACATTTCATTTTTATCTTATACCATTTAAATATGAGACATATTTCACAGGTACAGTTATTGAAAAGCATGTTATTCCTCTTTGATTTTGTACTTTACACATGTTGAACACTAATTTTTCTTCAAGAATTATATGCTTAAAATGCACTTGGATGTGAAATAAGTTTCATTTAGTTAATATGGGCCCTAGTTAGTATCCTGGATATAAGTAGAGCACAATTTTAAAAGGTGACTAAAGCTTTTTGCTATATAAATGAACACAGCAACTCTACGAATGTATTTTTTTCAGCCAAAAAAAAAGAAGAAAAAAAAACCCCAAACTGGGGTTTCATATTAATTTTACAGCACCTGGTTATATCCTTTTCAAGGGTAACATATGCAAACATAGCTGCACTATCAAACCAACCTCAAAAAGAGTCATTTTATCACTTCTAAACCCGACAAGGCAAGGTTACTTTTGCTATGTCTGCCTGGAATGGATATTATCAGTTGCAAAGTATATAAAACAATATGTCTTGGTTTTGAAAGGGACATGAGCTATATGCTGGTGTTGGTCTTGGAGTTCACTAATTTGTGCAAAGAATGATGGTAAGATATTATAGCATAATTAGTGATGCTTTTCTTTTTGTTTTGAAATTATTTCACAAATTCTGAAATAGTCCTTAGAGGGTCTAAAGATAACAGATGATTCCTTTTCAGTTTTACATTGAATAGGTTCTCAGCTAACCTATTAAAATTTAATTTAAATTGAAAACGTTGTTATGAATACTAAAACGTCATGCATTAGGAATTAGACCCTCTTAGAGTGTAACTGTGAAGAAGTTCAGATGACTTTTATCTACTAGTTTGTGATTTAAAATGCACTGCAACATATCATTCTTGACCTTTAACATTCTAATTATTCTCTTGTTTATTACAGCGTTAGTAGAAATGCTTGAAAATTTTGTCCTTCATCTCACTGAAAGCCCATCTGAATGCTACTTCCCCTCAGTGGAATATACAGGTACATCTTCAGCATTTTGAAGTTTGGGAAATACTCAGTGGGCAAATAGATATTTCATGAAGTTGTATAATTAGATTACAAATACGCACAGATTTTCCATCCTAGATATTTCTCACTTGATGCTATGAATGTTCCAGACATCAGGGTCCTCTCTTTACAAATGTATGGGTTTCCTTATAACTCTGGGGACTTCGTCCTTCCTTAAGGCAGTGTCTTCCATTCTTCTGGTTTTACCTGTTATCTCCTTGTGGTCACCTCTGCTCGTATTTCACTTACCTCTCATTTACTGATGACTTCAAAATTTATGTCTTTTGCTCAAAGATCTACCGTAAGCTTTATTTTTATAGACACATTTGCAAATAGGTAAATATCACAAAACCCCTCAAACTCAAAATGTCCAACAGGGGATATTTGTACCTGTCTGAGCCAACATGACAGGCAAGCTGGTATCTCTCCTATAGCAGTTCCTGAGGGGCTTAATCTCAGCTTTGACTCCTCTTACTGCAGTCAGGGAATTATCCTAACTAATTGTTCAGGAACTTGCTGGGTGATGCATTTTCCTCTGAGCCAAAACCAGTGTTCTCATTATCTGTCCCTTAGCAGATCCCAGAGCTGCCCAGTTTTGCCACAGCCACTCTTGCTGCAGTCGGGGAGCAATCTTGTTTGTTCAAAGATCTGCTGGGTGATTTGTGTCCCTCTGGGCCAAAAATGATAGGCATACTAGGCTCCATCCCACAGCAGATCACAAGGAGTCCAGTTTCAGCTCTGGCCCTTCCAGTTACAATCAGGGACCTACTCTGTGCCAGCATCTGCTGTGTAATATATGCCCATCTGAGCCAATGAGACAGGCTCACTAGCCTTTTTCTCACAGGAGGTACTGAGGGGACCCAGTCACAACTCTGGCCAGTGCGAACCATAGGGAGACCTGCTGGGAGGCATGCCTATCTGGACCACTGGAACAGCCATTTAGACCAAGTTCCTAGCCAGTGTTTCCACATGGCCCCAGGACCCTTCCTGGGTTTTCCCCAGGTCTGTCTGGGCCAGAAAGCCACATCAGCCTTGAAGTTTTCATGAAACTTGCAGCAAACCCGGGCTACAAGTGTCCTCTAGTGCTGAGACAGTGGCGGTGGTCACAGGCTCATGGAATTTACAGTGAGTCTGCTTAGAATCTGTGCAAGGCCCTTTGAAGACGGATACGCACAAACAAAGCCAGATTGCAGACTAAAATAAAACCTAATTCCTCAATGTGCAGATACCATCGCATGTCCACAAACATTAAGAACATACAGAGAAATATGACCTCACCAAATGGACAAAATAAGGTGCCAGAGACCAAAGTGAGGGAGATGTGTGATCTCTAAAAGAATTTAAAATAGGTGCTTTAAGGAAGCTTAGCGAACTTTAAAAAAAAAAAAAAAAAAAACACAGAAAATCAATTCAGAAATTTATTAGAGAGATTGAAAGCTTGGGGAAAAAAAGCAAACAAATCCTGGAGCCGACAAGTGCAATGAATGAAATGAAAAATGTGGTGGAGAGCATCAACAGCAGAATTGATCAAACAGAAGGAAAAAAATTCATTGACCTTGAAGACAAACTATATGAAAATATATAATCAGAGGGGCATAAAGAAGAAACAATGAAAGAAATAAAGAAAGCTGTGGAATCTGTAACACAGCATCAAAAGAGCAAATATTTCGGATATTAAAGTTAAGGCACAATAGCCGGGCTCGGTGGCTCAGCCTGTAACCCCGCGCCTTTGGGAGGCTGAGGTGAGTGAATTGCCTGAGCCCGCGGGTTCGAGACCGGCGTGGGCAGCGAGACCTCATCTCTACAATAAATCAAAAAATCAGCTGGGTGTGGTAACGCATGCCTGTAATTCCGGCTACTCAGAAGGCTGAGGCGGAAGGATCGCCGGAGCCCAGCAGGTTGAGGCTGCGGTGGCTGGGAGCGGCCGCTGCACTCCAGTGGGTGACAGAGTGAGACTCCAACTCAAAAAAAAAAAAAAGAAATCTCAAGACATAATCAAACTCTCAGACTCAAAGAGAAAATCATGAAAGCAACAAAAGAAAAGAAACAAATGATATGTCAGTGAGGTTATATACACCTGGCAACAGACAGCTCATAGACTGTGAAGGAGTGGGACAGTGTTGAAAGAAAAAAAAAAAAAAAAAACACAAAAAACAAAAATACCTTATCCAGGAAAGCTATCCTTAAGATATGAGGAGAGAAGAATTCTTTCTCATGCAAACAAAAGCTAGGGGGATTTTTGCTGTCAAACCTGTCTACAAGAGTGCTAAAGGGAATTTTTGAGTTGAAGGAAAAGGATACTAACGTGACTTTCCATTAACAGTGCAATGATATTGTGTAGACCACTTATATTTTTATACAAAGACTAAAAGACAAAACTATTCTGAAACTAATTCTGCAGTTTGTACAGTTTGCTAGAGATAGGCAATATAAAATATGTAAATTTTAAATATCAGAATGTGGGGGGAGAAAGGAGTTATGTATGGTGTTTTGGGGGATTTTTTTTCTCAATCAAAGTTAAGTTAGTATCAGTTTTAAATAGGATGGTTTTGTAAGCTTTAATGGTAATCATGAAGCAAAAATCTATAATAGGTACATTAAAAATTAAAAGCAACAAATTAAACATACTACAAGAAAAAAGCATCGCTTAACCACAAAGGAAGATCATAGGTTAAAAAAGGAGTTACAGAACAACTAGTAAACAAATAGCAAAATGGTTATTATATATTAATAAATAAAGCATCAGCTTCATCTGTACCTTATGAAGATTATTTTAGTGACAGTGTAACGGAGAGATTAAGTATGGAACTCAAATTTTCTAAAGATGAACATCCAGTACTTAAGGGGCAGGGAATGAAGTGACTGAAGAAAGCAGAGACGTGGCATGTACTTATAATAATCATTATATCATCAAGGGTAATCGTTCTTCTTCTCTGTAAGGATGTTGTGACTTCTCCTTTTGCTGAAGAAACCTTCGTTCAAATATATGTTATTTATTCAAGTAAGACAAAGTATATTTCCAAAATATTTATTTATTTATTATTTTTTTGAGTTGGAGTCTCATTCTTGTCGCCCAGGCTGGAGTGCAGTGGCACACTCCCGGCCACCGTAGCCTTGACCTACAGGGCTTAGGCAATCCTTCCGCCTCAGCCTACCAAGTTGCTGGAACTACAGACGCACGCCACCATGCCTGGCTAGTTTTTGTGATTTATTGTAGAGATAAGGTCTCACCAAGTTGCCTATGCTGGTCTCGAAACCCTGGGCCTAAGCAATCCTCTTGCCTCGGCCTCCCAAAGTGCTGGGATTATAGGCTGAGCCACTGCACCCGCCCCTCAAAAATTTTTTAAATAGTATATATACTCCCAGTCTGGCCTAGCCTCTTTCTATCCTTATTATCCTTCACTGCCCAAACACATCCTAAGCATTCACTCCACTGAACCTGTAGTCCTGTCATTCCTTCTGGATGGACATGGCATTATCATGTGGGTGAACATGGCATTATCATATGGGTTCCCCAGGATACCCACCTGCTAATGCCCAATCATCTATAAGTTTTTAGCTAGAATGTCACCTTCCCTCTTTCACCTAAGCAGAAGTCTGTCCTCTGTGCTTCTATTGCATTTGCTTTAAACTTTCGATTTAATAGTTTTTATTATATTGTAGATGACTAGTCTAAGTTGTTCCATTAGATCTCAATTTCATCTTTAATACAGCATTTTATTAAAATACACTGTTATATAAGCATTAACATTCACATAAATGCATTTCTATAACAAGTAAATATGTTACTTATCAGTTCACATATATCAATACTAAACATGTTGATATTTATCAATACACCCTACACCTAATTATACAGATAGTGACATCTAATGTGAATTTGGGAACGGGTTAAAGGAGATCTTACAAGAATAAAAACGGGGAAATGAGAGGAGAATGCATGAAACAAAAGGTAGCACGAAACAAAAATGAAAGTAGGTGAAGGGAAATGATATTTATTGTGCACCTTTCCTAAGTGAGAGTTTGTTGAGACACTTGATATACATTGTATCGTTCAGTCCTGTAACTACTTTCTGAATTAGGCATGATCATCATATTTAAAATAAGGAAGCTGAGGCACTGAGGAAAGAAAACATAAATTGTGAAGAAATTTTGAAGAAAAGCATTTGTGAAGAAAATTATAACCATGTGAATAAATATAAAAATTCATGTGAAAAACATGCAGGTATTGGCGATTGAGTCTGGGAGTAACAGAATGAGTAAGAAGTGATGGTCATGCAGATTTGCATGACCAAAGTGAGCATCTCTAGTCTCAATCATCTCTGATCTCTACAGCTTTCTTTGGTACATTGTTCAGCTGAGCCATATTTCCTATGGAGAATCTAAAATTAAAATTATATTGTATGTGCTATCTAAGTATTCCACAAAACTGATTTCTCGGTGTGCACGTATTTACTGCACCTTGTTGTATTTCTAAATTATGCTGAGTGAGAGCTCAGATGTCAGCTTTGTTGAATGTATTATCTAGGCAGATAAACCCTGGATGCAAATTTAAATTCCTTAAAGCCTCCAGCTGATCAGCTATCAACCAGAGTCTTATAGCAAAGCCAAAAATAAAGTGGTTTTCTGTTTATTGATTGTTTAATATTTATTATTGCGTTTTGATGGGCTTGTATTGTTTTCTTCCCAAGGCTTTAAGTATCATCAACCTTTATCATGTATTTTTTGACTGGTGGAACAATGTTTTGTATTTTAAAATTTCGCTCTATTTTTTTTTAAATAAGCATGTTTTGGTATAATATATTTGAAAGCAAGTTCTGGGTAAATATATTCAATGCTTTTTTTTCAGGTTTCTTGAAATGAGAAATTGATTGTCTTTTTTAAATGACAGCCTTCTAAACCCTAAGGTGTTTGAAATTAGAAAAACACAATCATCCATCTGTTGTTAGAAATCCTGAAATCTCCCTCAGGAT